ACTTTCTGCGTGATTTTTAATAAACACGATCGTTTGCCTTTTACACAAGTTGTCTAACTTAGGGCAAGTTAGTTCACCCCTCCGGACCTCATTTGTTAAAGGGGGATACTATGATAGCACCAAGAGCTCAGCACAGTCGTGGCACACAGCAGTGCTTGGTGAATCACAATTATGATTGCTGTGTGACGAGGGAACGTGACACAAGGCCTTTGCTTTGGACCAGGCTCCTCGTCTGTAGGTCAGGATGCACACCCGGGTTCCTAAACTTTTTTGCTAATCAAACTTTCCTTGAGGGATGGTTAAACATGGGAATTTTGACATCCTGCTCCCAGACATTCAGATTCCGCAGGTTGATGGGGGCCCAAGAATCTGCATTTTTAACAAGCAGCACTTGCAGACACCAGGGGACCCAGATGCTGATGGTTTGAGGACACACCTGGAGAAACCGGGGGCTGAATCTAGTTCCCTGGCTGGCCAGCTCACTGCTGCACCTGTGAGTCCTGGATTGTGTCCGTAACTGGGGATTTCTGGGGAAAGCTGTTAATGATGCCATTAACGCGAGTTCCTTCCAATGGGAGGGGGCTCCCCAGCTTCCTGCTCTGACTTGTCTCTGGACTTCTCACATCTTGGACCTCCCACCTTCAAGGTTGGGATGCAATGATGAGCTGTGGCTAAAGAGAGGGACTTGGCTTCCTCCTGGTCCCCAGAATGGGATTATCTGCAAGGCCAGCAAGGAAGAGGCCAGGATTTTTCAGAACTGGATTAGAATACATTATTGATTCAGGAACGGAGTGACTCTGAAGAGAAGAGGCCTCCCCTCTTGGGGTGTGCCACTAAAGTAGGCTTGGCCAGACCTGCAGGGCCTGAACGCAGCAGGCTCTGAGGGGAACAAAGACCCCCATCGAGTGGAAAGACAGGGTCTGTGGGAGGATGCTGGGCCTGCGGAGCCTGCCTTCCAACAATGCCGTCATCCCCAGAAGGGCGTACTTGGAACATAATGGCTCTAGCTACAAATTCTATTAACTCTAATAGTTGTTCTGTGGTGAATGGATAATGCATTTAGCAGAAATAGACCCAATCAATTTATATGAAACACATAAAACTTTCTCATTGGAATTGGCATCTGTTCTTGAATCAGGAGCGTGTGTGGAAATGGACAGCCTGTCACCCTCACTTCTGGGCACATTAGTGGTGTCACGGGTTAATTGGAGATATGGGCCAAATAAAGCCATGGCTCCCTGATGGTATCACCCTTCAACCCTTGGAATCTTGGAGCTGGGAACGGGAAGGGACTTGGACACTGTCTACTTCTAACCTTGACTTTTAAAAAAATTGCAGTCTCTCTGCCCTTGTCTGTGTTCACATTAACCCCCCTCATCTGCTGACTTGCCCTGATGGGAGACCCTGCAGAGGCAGAATGGCCCCAGGGCCACAGCTTGCCAGTGCAACCAGCCAGGGCCCAGCGGGGGTGTTCTCTCTTTTAGTCCAGTGCTCTTCCCATGACTCTATATAGTTTTAATTGCTTTTATCTCTGCTTTGGTGAGGGATGTGTACTCAGAAAATGGCAGACCAACCTGCCACCAAATAGCTAGAGGCAAGGCTGTGGTTTTGATGCCAAGGCTCCACAGTTAGGGTTGTGGAGTTGGGCCTAAAGTTTGGGCAGGTTCTCCCGTTAGCTGAGCTGATTCTGTTGGACTTGCCCTACGTAGCATCTGAGCTCCAAGGAGAAGGATAGAGGGGTAGGGAGGCTGAGGAAGGGTCCTTGGGCCTTGGGGGCCTGCTTGTCCTCATCTGGGCTTTTTAGGGAAAGGGTGTGGTAGAGCCTGCCCGTTCCTCCTCACTGCTAACATTCATTACTGCCAGAGAGAGACGGTCATGGGGAGGGGAAAGAGAGAGAGGGACAGACAGAGAGAGAAAGAGAGAGAGAGAAGGAGGGAGCAGGGTGGGGGGGGGAGAGAGAGAGGGAGAGAGAGAGAGAGAGAGAAGGAGGGAGCAGGGTGAGGGGGAGAGGGAGAGAAAGAGAGAGGAGGAGGGAGTGGGGTGAGGGAGAGAGAGAAAGATAGAAAGAGAGAGAGAAGAACCTGGTTCTGCAGCCCCGTGATGAGATTACCCCAGTCATTTGGTTAGTGTAATTGTATGTGCAAAGCTGACAAATGTAATTTCCCTGGACTTAATACTTGCCCCATTTTCTCTTTCAGCATCTTCATCTGATTAGCTAAAGTGACTCAGAGTCTTCCGAGAATGCCACATGAAGCACCTGGACAGGATTTTCCTGGCCTGGAAACTTGAGCGGCTCAGCTCTGCTCCACGGGCCCGGAGGTGAAGAGCCTCCCAGATCCAGGGAGTCAGGCCGAGCCCCTCATCAGAGGGGAGGGCTGCTGTGGAGAGTGAGGAATGTTTAGGGAAGCTTAGAAGTGTTGCCAGTAACTGTTTCCAAAAGACCCCAAAGGGCCTTTGCGTTTCTAGTTCTGTAACACCTGCCTGCAGGAGAGTTGAAATGCCACCAGCCACCTTGTTCCAGCCCAGCAGAAACTGACAGCTTTGAACTTTGGAAAGAAAAATCTTATTATCTTGTCTCCTCGATTGTTTGTCAGAAGGTTGGGAGCTGATTTGTTTACTGTTCGTGCAGGGCCTCTTGGCTGGAACTCTTCCCTGCCCTTTGCCATTTTTAGTGTTTTTCTCCGATTGGAGACTTTGATACCTCGAAGTAGCTTAGTTGGGTGAAAGAATGTGGACTCCAGGTTGACTTCCTGGCCCCACTGCCTTCCAGCCTTGGGGCCCTTAAATTCTTCCATACCATTTTCCTCATCCTTACAGTGGTAAAAACAGCTACTGTCCCTGGGCCCGTGTGAGGACAAGTTGTTGTGTGAAATAACCTAGGCTATGGGACCACACTCAGTGATCTTTCCTTTCCTTTCCTTCCCCTTCCGGCCTATCCCTCTGTCCTTTTTCAGGGGGCCTCCCAGGTGGAAGCTCTGAGCTTGTGCTTTGCAAACATGCCCTGCTGCCTCATAGGCCACTCTCCTCCCATGGCCCAGGAGCTCCAGAATGGCGAGTACCGGCTCAGCCCTGTCCCTGTTGTAACCATGCACCGTGCTGGGCACGTGTCTGCTGGGTACATGTCTGCTGGGTGATTATTACTGAGTGGGTGTGGGAGTGGGTGTGGCCTTGGCCTCTGCCTCCACGAGTCTGCCTGGACCCATAGACACTACCTCGGTATTGCTCTGAGACTGGGGTTGAGAATGAGGGATCAGGTTTCTCAGTGGGGAGACTTGTGTTCCAGCTGCTGTCTCCTCCAGCCTTTAATTGTATTTAGAGGTGGTGGGGGAGCCATCGCCACGTGTGAGCCACTGGTGATTTCATTAGTCTGAGTGGCCATTGGGCAGGCCCTTATCGATTAACCTTTTAGGGACAGTGGGAGTTATGTGGCAATAAACTCATGAATCGAGCAGTGTGGCTGGCTGTTTCCTAAATGCTGGCTGCAGGGGCTGGCTGCTGACACCTGAGATCCAAGCTCAGGCATCCAGCCACCCACTGGTCAATAGATGTTTCTGGAGTCTCTGCTCTGTAATCAGTGCTGCTGATTAGGCTGGGCAGGGAGCTGTGGCTATGTTTACTTAGCACACTAAAAGGGCAAGTCTGGCTTCTTCCCTCAATTTATACATTTATACATTTCCTGAATTTATCACAGGGAGGTAGTAGTTGACCAAGACCCAAGGAGTGAGTAGAGGTGAATCATTGGGGCTGGGGGGCAGGGCATTGAATGGAGAAGTTAGAAAGCTGCCTCCATCAGGTGAGACGTTGGCATGAACCGGGAGGGGAGGGGGAAACCAGAGAGAGCTGCAGTTTTGTGGGACAGGCTCCCCTCTGTGTAGGAATATGCAAAGGTCTTTCGTCGTTCTAGTTAAAGGGGAAGGCAGGGATGATGGGAAAAGGAACTAACTCTTTCTCCCGGGTCTGGCAGCTGGATTAGATCAGGCAGGAATCAGGAAGGGGTGACGGTTAGCCCTGGGGCAGCTTTTCATGGGACAGAAAGGAAAGGACTCCTTCAAAGACAAAGCCACACTAACGTCTAGTTTACTGTTGAGAGCTGATGAATTCAGCAGCAAAAGTATGAACCTCATTTTTTGTACTTTGTACCAGAAAAGGATTTCACATTATAAGTTGAAATTAGAGATTTCTCATTGATCTGTTATTATTTTGATAAAGACTTATCTTTTATAGGAAAAAGAGTGTGGGTAGACTGTGTGTTGTACACTTGTTTCTCCAGGCTATACATAGTAGAAGAAACCTCACAGGCCCAGGCACCAATGCTTGCCTGGGAAAATCCCTTGGCTAACTGGCATGGGGCTGGGGCAGCCTAAATCAGCTTCTGGGGGCTAGGCTCACAGCCTCTGGTCTAATAGAAGAGTGGCCGAGAAGTCACAACTGTGGTTTATAACCAGAGGCTGAAAAGTTCTGCTGAAGTGGAAAGGGGCCATAAGAAGTCTTGGCTTGGGGTATGCTGAATAGAACAGCTTTGGAGGGGATCTGAGCTCTGGGGGAACTGTGTTGAAAGAAAGCTTTGGGGACCTTACCCACGATGGAGTAGCCCACGTTTGTGCAACAGATAACCTTGGCCAGCCCCAGCCCTCTTTATAAGGAGAAGAAATCTGACAGTAAGGTTTGCTTTGTTCAGTAAGGCGGGAGTGAATTCAAAGCAGAGATGGGGAAAAAAAATGCCAGTTTCGTTATCTCCTTTGGGTGGGGCCTAGGTATTCCCTAGGCATAGAAGAAGCTGCTCCTTTGTACAACTTCCAGAGGTTTCCTTTGCTCAGGCAATATGAGAACCAGACAGCATCCTCTTGGACCCCATAGCCAGAGCGTAGGTGATGCTCCTTCTAAAGATTGACTGTTTCATTCTTTCAGCACAGCTCCCTACCCCAAACACAGCACCAATCTTTCTTCTGCCTTTTGCAACGAGAGGTTACTATGCTCACATTTGTGAGCTGAGCCCTTACCTGTAGGGTCAAAGATGGGCGTCTGTCGTGGTGAATTTTCCCCGGGTTTCAGCTCCTTGTTTGGGTTTCTCTCAAACAGGTTTCTTGATTTGGGTGCTGTGTTCTGTAGGATCTTGTCCTCTCCACTAACTGGAATAGAGAAGACCCCACGGGCTGAGTTAGGTGAGGGTCGATTTCAGGGTGACAGATGATTTCACACTGAGGGAGGTGGGAGAGACAGGCTTAGGCTGAGGAGGGGACAGTGAGGCCATGGGCCATCGGGGTTGGGGGACATAGTGCTGGGGTCAGAGTGAACTCACTGGTGAGGTAGCAGTCCAGGCTGATGGAGATATTGTCAAAAGCCACGATGGCTCTGGATCCTTGTCCCCACCATGCAACCATCTGCAGCCAGAACCTGTACACATCAAGAGGAATGTGTGTGAGGAGCAAACTCGGGGGTCTTGTCTTAGGATTCAGCATCCAGCAGGCAAGTGCTGATTACCTGGCTCAGAATGTGAGTTTGAAAAAGGCTTACCTAATCCCAGAGCAGTGGTGAGAGAAAAGCCATCAATTCCCCCTACTTCTGCAATGCAGAGCACTTCCCCTTCCGAACTATCCCCTTCCCCTTCCGAACCAGCTGACACACTGGTCCTTAAATCCAGCCTGGAGTTTGGGGCCTGGGACCAGGCCTCTCTGGTCATCTGAGGAGAAATCTTTCGCTTTCTGGGTGTGTAGGATGCTTGGAAATGGAGAAGAAATCTGACAGTAACTGCTTTGTTCAGTAAATGGGGAGTGATTTCAAGGCACTGAGTTGGGGAAAAAAAATCCAGCTTGGGTCTCCTGTTTGGGTGAACTAAACAGGAAAAATGGGTAGGTCTGACATTCAGCCAGTGGGGCTGAAGTCATTATTAAAATATTAAAATGCTTCTGTACCAGCCAATAAAGAACCGCAGTTTCATGAGTGCCCCTTGCTTGTTGCTTCAGGCAACTGTCTCCTTCCCTGGTGCCCCTGCCCCATTTATTTCCTAATTAACCAGCATCTGTAGGGTTTATCCATTGGTTAGCCCAGCAGGGGTCTCAAGCATCCTGGGTCTCATCCAGCATCACAGGAGGTTGCCTGCCTGGTAGTTAAATGTTGAGCGACTTGACTATTACCCTTGGGAATATTTGTAACCAATACAGAGGGGTCATAAAAGTGTTAACAATAAACTCATTAAGATATTGTTTCTTCCCCCCACCCCTTTTCATGTCCTTGGAGGGCCAGGTTCTCAGACTGTGGCCAGGGAAGGCCTTACAGTGACATAAACAGGAAAATACCTTTCGTTTGTTTGTTTCCTGAGAAATCATCCCCTGGAAGCCTAGCAGTCAGCCAGCCCTTTCCTGTTCTAAGTGAAGGTTTCCTGAGAACCTTAAAATCCTTTCCCACCCTCCAGAATGTCAATCCAGAATGACCTGCAGAACAGGGTGCTGGCTCTGGCATAGATATGAAAACACGAAGAGAAGGAAGCCATACCCACCCATTGGTGGCTGGGCAAACTCCATACAGTACAGCCATACCATGGGATGCCGGTCCACAGTCAAGAACGGACCCGGAGACGTGCTATGAAATGGATGGACCTCAAAGACATGATGCTAAGTTAAAGAAGCCAGACAGTAGGTTAAAGACCTCCTATTGAATGATTCTGTTGATAGAAAATGTCTAGAAAGGTAAATCTATGGAGCCAGAAAGCAGGTTAGTGGTTGCCTGGGGCTGGGAGTGGGCACAGGATTGACTGCAGACTAGCATACAGGCTTTTTTGGGGTGATGAAAATGCTCAGAAACGGGATTGTGGTGCTCTCTCCACAGCTGTATAAATCTGTTGGAAGTCATTGACTTGTACACTTAAAGTAGGTGAATTTTATGATATATAAATTACAGTTTGATAAAGCTGTTAGATAAAAAGGAGAGAGAGGAGGAGAGAGGGAACCCAGGCTGCAGGGCATTGGCCACATAGGGTGGCAAGAGCAGAAAACCGAAGCAGGGCGGCACTGGCGACGTGGAGAGAACAGGGCCTGCAGGGTACAAGAAGGACAAGAAATGGGATGTCAACAGTGGGAGGGAAGACGCAGAGGAAAAGATATGGAGAGAAAGGGCGCTTGCTCACATGGATTTGCAGTGAGGCAGCAAAGCTTTAGCCAGTGGGTAAACTACAGCAGGGGTCGGAAGCTCCCGTTCCGCCTGTGTGCAGATGATCTCTGATCAACATGTAGAAGATGCCGGCTTGTTAGATGCTGGCTTGGTTATTCCTGGCCAGAGAACAATTACTGTTTCCGTGAAGCAAAGCCTTGAATTCCAAAACTTTTATCAGAATAACTGTACTCGATTATGCTTAATGAACTACTCCATACATTTGCCTGTGCTTTCAACCATCTTGTGAGATCTGGTCATTCAGAAACAATCCTTTCTGTCTGAAAGTCATAATTACAGGACCCAAATCCGGTTTGATTCTAAAGAAGAAATGCCCACATCTGTTGTAGCTGCGGCCAACACTACTGGGGTTGGCCCTTCAGGCCGTATTCCCCATGAAGATGTCTCCATGTAACCCTCAGTCAGGATAGGGTGTGCTGGTGGTTGGGTGTGGAAGGAGAAGTGCCTGATGGACAACCTTCAAATCCTGTTCTGGGTGGCATGGGCATGCCGGATGAGTGCGCAAGAGGGGATGGACAGCACAAAGACCCTCAGCCCCTGCCACCCCGGCACTGGGGTGTATGCCTCCGAGAGGCATCTCTCATTCCAACTTTGATACACACCTATTTTTGTTTCCTTTATAGCTATTACATATAGGTCTATGGGGCATTCTAAGAGAAATCAGGCATGAACGCTGCATTCAAGTCACTTATTGTCCAGTGTGAAGATGAAGTGTGTGTACCTCGGTGTGGAATAAAGTAGAAGGAGGTCAATGCTTCATGAAGGTGCAGACACAGCACTGTGCGAGCTCAGAGGAAGGGGGAATTACACCAGGGTGGGGAGATCAGGAGGGCTTCATAGAACAGGCAGTATTTAAGTTGGTCTTGAATGCACGGAAGGGTTTGAGGATGTGGGTGTGGGAGTGGCGTGCAGGGAGGAGAAGATGTCTGGAGCAGAGGAACTGGTGTGAGGGCGATGTGGGCAGGGATAGGAACTGTCCTGCTGGGGAGCGAGGAGTGAGGAAGGAGGTAAAGATGGTATGGACGTTCAGAGGTCAGGTAAGGAGGTTCTGCCATTATTTCAGGGAACATGGAGAGCCATTGCAGGTTTCTAACAGGACAGTGCAAGATCAAAGACCTCTTAGAGGATAATTGTGATGGGATTAGTAAGTGGGATGGAGACTAGGAGAGGAGGCAGAGAGACAGGGGAGATTGCGTGAGAGACATTTCTGCATGCATCTCACACGCCTTCATCAGGTTTCTCTACGAATCTCGGCAAGGTTATAGCCACGATTTCCCTGGGGTTCCCCCAGGGGAAATAGTCCATAGATGAGTTTCTGGCTTGAGCCTGTGTAACTCCAGACAAAGCCCAGGACTGGGATCTCAACTGGAAAACCAGGGCCCTAATACTGCTGTCTTGTTAAAGCAGGTGCAACCCTTAGGAAAATGCTGCTTCCAGGTAGCAAGAAAACAGGCACTGAGAGGGACAGAGAGGGTGAATAGAAGGACTCAGGTTCCCCGTGGGAGCATCAGGAAGGCACAGCTGCCTGACTCGCCTGCACATCAAGGGGTGAGTCCCCCCACAGGGCACATTTCTCTACCAGGTCATCATCTCCTAACCTGTCATTCACAGGACCAGGGGCCAAGCCAGGCCCTGATTTCAATGCTGAGCAGTATGAGGGGTGTACCTTCCCGGAGGCCAGAAGGGCCTGAGTGAGTAAATGACATGTGTGTGCCTGCGGAGCCTGGGGAGGAGGGATAGAATCGCGGCTGTCCTCTAACTGGGTGCTCCCTGGGAAGCTGCGTGTCTCCCCGCCCCCCTCTCTGCCTGCCTTCCTTACTACTAAACGATTAGATCTGCGAAGTCTCTCACAGCCACGGGGCCTCTTAGCATGGATGGGATGATGCTGGCTGAGGCTGGAATGGTTTCTAAATAGAAGAGCTTCTGAAGTACTCTGCACGGCGACAGCAGTGGCAGCTGCTGCTTAAAAGAGTTTGATTGACACTGGGAATTGCACATATTTTGAGTCAGGAACACACACAACCATCAGGAAGATTCAATCAGATGGCAATATGGAACCAGGCAGTGCTGCCTCTGTCCACCCGGAGCCACCCACACATGGGTGCCTCTGTCCACCCATGGGCCAATGCTCCCCCATGGCTCCAGCCCCCAGAGGCTGCAGGGAAGGGACCGTGGGACAAAGGTGAGCCGCTGAAGGATGGGTGGAGGGTGGGGCAGAAGCAAAGGCCATCTAGGAATGGAGTCTGGGGGTGGTAGATGATGGGCAGTCGGCGGGTAGAGCAGCACCAATCTAGGATGCTCTTTTCTGTGGATGTGCTGGCCCAGAGACAGAGTGGGCGTCAGGACCACCCAGATTCAGGTTTCCCTACTTTGGAAGGTGCCTGGTTGTGTGTCTACCTGATAGGTGAAGAAGAGGTTGCTTCTGGACCGCTCACCCTCTCCTTGCTGGAGATGGGAAATGCTTCCTCAAGGCTCTCGCAGTCTCCTGGTTCTACCCACTCCTTCCTGTGAGTCCCCCAGAAGTACAACTACCATGTCACTCTCCAGAGTCAGCTATGGCCTCAGGTCTCAGTTCTACCACTTACTAGCTGGGCCATTTTGGGATCGAGGGATGTACCAGGTGGACCACTCTGGGACTAAGGGAAAGTTCTGGTATGTACCAGGTGGACTACCAAGGGACTGAGGGAAAATTCTGTTATATACCAGGTAGACCTGACACTTAGGCAAGACCTGACACACTCTGGGACTGAGGGAGAGTCCTGGCATGTACCAGGTGGACCCTCTGGGACTGAGGGAAAGTTCTAGTAGGTACTAGGTGGACCACTCTGGGACTGAGGGGAGGTTGTGGTATATACAGATGGACTACTCTGGGACTGAGGGAATGTTCTAGTATGTACCAGACAGTCCATTCTGGGATTGAGTGAAAGTTTTAGTGTGCACCATGTAGACCACTCTGGGACTGAGGGGAGGTTACGGTATATGCCAAGTGGACCACTTTGGGACTGAGGGAAGGTTCTGGTATGTACCAGGTGGACCACTCTGGGACGTGGGGAAAGTTCTAGAATGTACCATGTGGATCACTCTGGGACCGGGGGGGAAATTCCAGTATGTACCAGGTGGTCCGTTCTGGGACTGAGGGAAAGTTCTAGTATGTACCAGGTAGACCACTGTGGAACTGAGGGGAGGTTGTGGTATATACAGAGAGACCACTCTGGGATTGAGGGAAA